GGACCAAATGGACTCAATTTTTTCTTGTTAGTTAGACAACAAAATTTCCAATAATATACAAAAAATTTCAGATCAATATCGTTTACAGATCCAAAAATATACGTTTTTTAATTTAAAAATTCAAAAAATTTTAGATTTTTGGCGTTTTTTTGCCAAAAATGTGTCTTAACTCTTTTATTAATAAAATAAAATTTTTATTAAGAACGTATAACAATTTTATAGTTTTCTAAAAGGTATCTTTACGCAGAACGCTTTGGCGGAAAAAACTTGTCCTATTTTTTGAAAATGTTGCCACTGCGTCCTTCCGAATATGACCTATTTTTTATCAAAACTTCAACTTTGGGCGACATGTTCTAAAATCCCAAAGCTGGGATCAGAAAACTGAAAGCAGTTTTGGAAACCTCAATATGTTTTCTATTTACTCCAAAAGTATTTTCCCAGCCCTGGAAGAAATGTGGACCCTATGGGCAAAAAAGTAAAAAATCCCATTTTTGGGATTTTCATTCCTATTTTTGGGAATTGCGGGATGCCCTTTGACCTTTTCAATTTTTTCATTGAAAATTTCATGGAGTTTTGTTCATAAATAAAGATTTTGTCATATATTACATATTTGTTTAATTTCTAAAACTATGATTTATATCAAAATTTTAATAGGATCGCAGATAGCTACAACAATTTAGTCCATATTTATCCCTTAATATCATTTTTTAGTTAGATATGGAAATTCTCGACCCTTTACAAAAAATTTCAAGCCAATATCTCAATTACATTCAAAAATATGTTCATTTAAACCTGTGTCCTTTAATTTCATCTTTTTCATATTTTAGTATTAAGTATGACAGAACATATTTAAATCTTATATTTACCTATTTTCTATTTGTTTGCTTATCCTTATAATTGAAAGGGTCTATTATGCTTAAATTTTCAAAAATTTATAATTATTTTTTACCTAAATTTTTTCGACAGATCATTTCGTTCTGTTTCGTTTATGATCATGTAGGTAAAAATATACAGGTAATGATAATTTCGATTCATTCACTAATAAGAAATATCAATGACTGAATTACAGGTTATAGTAATATAGTCCTAAATGTTAATAGGTAGACAATTCGTAATTTTTTACTTTGGAATACCTGTATCGGAAATGACAAGAATTGGTATATAAGTAAACTTCTCAGATTTTAAGTACCATATTTAATAAATCTACAATGAAGATTACATTAAAGTACGAAGAGTTGTGTTCCGTTTTATGGAGTATATCTTCAAAAGGGCCAGAAAGAATTGAAGACATTTCAAATTATATAAAAACTACATATAGTAGAAAAGTAGACAAAACAGGCATATCAAAAATTGAAAACTTTTTAAAATTTTTGATGTAAAAAGTAAGTCTGTGGATGGAAATCAAAAGAAATTTCGATTAAAATTTTGTAGTTGGATGGAAACTACTACGGAAATCTCAACTTACAACACATCAATAGGAGCGCCTTGCAAGTCATACGAAGACTTATGTTCAAGGTAAAAAAAAAAGAGGGTCACACAAAAACTTTTTTCAATCTCAAATGAGGAAATTGCTGATACATTTAACGAAATGCTGAAAAAGGAAAACTAACATATGGATGTCGTACATATTGCAACTATTCTTCCTAATGCATCACCAAAACGACTTAAGCGAATTATGGAAAGTATACCAACTCCAACATCATAATCAAATTTTACTGAAGAGGAAGCAATAGCGCTTATGTTGGAACTGGGTCTCAGTCGAAATAAGTACCAAATATTAAGGAAAGCTCTGCATGAAAAAGGACACAATATATTACCATCATACAAGGCGATCCAGGAAAAAAAAACAAACTATCCTACTAAATCAACAAAAAATAATGAAGAATTGAAAGAACTGAGAGCTGCTGAAAAAAGCAGAATCCAAGAAGAATTTAAAGTTCAGATGGGATTAAACATCGACAAACCACTTTCAAGTTGCGGTAGTACAAATGACGGTAATACGTCGAGAAGGTTTTTTCGTGATTTTGAAATTACTTCAAAAATAACTGGAATCGACAAGGAGTTGCTTCGAAGAGTTAAAACTATTTTAATGGCACTGAATAGTAAACATAAAATTAATGAAAATCGATTTGGGGAATACACATCTGAAATTTCTAAATTACTTGTATCTCTGTATCCATGGAGGGAACTAACACCAACAGTACACAAAGTATTGTGTCATGGTCAAATAATAATTGAATCGAATATTCTTCCACTTGGAGAGTTAACAGAAGAAGCCCAGGAAGCGAGGAATCGAGATTTTAAGCATGTTCAACTATTCAGCTCAAGAAAATGCTCCAGGCAATCACAGAATGAAGATATTTTTAATAGTTTACTTCTATCTTCTGATCCTGTTCTTTCAACTATGCGAAAAAGATGGATTTGTTATGAAACTCTATCATCTCAAAACAAGGAAGATTTAAAGGACTTATATTACCTTCTGGATATGTATACCGATATGACATATTATTTTATAGAAAATAAGTAGTGTTAGGAATTAACTATATAAGTAGGTTGTAAGAATTAATTGTATTATGTTTAAGATAAACAGTTCAAATAAAAAAAGCTATTATACTAACTGATGATATTGTATTAAATTGTGTTTTATATTTCGGTGGGCGGGAAAGGTAATTTGTGTGGGGTGATTTAGGTGTTGTTGTGCGTGGCTCATAATAAAATTATAATTTTTTTATTGTATATACAATATTATAATAAAATAATTAACTAAATAATTTTTAAAAATTGTCCAAATATTTTATTCAACACCAAATGTATGTTCTGTCATACTTAATACTAAAATATGAAAAAGATGAAATTAAAGGACACAGGTTTAAATGAACATATTTTTGAATGTAATTGAGATATTGGCTTGAAATTTTTTGTAAAGGGTCGAGAATTTCCATATCTAACTAAAAAATGATATTAAGGGATAAATATGGACTAAATTGTTGTAGCTATCTGCGATCCTATTAAAATTTTGATATAAATCATAGTTTTAGAAATTAAACAAATATGTAATATATGACAAAATCTTTATTTATGAACAAAACTCAATGAAATTTTCAACGCTTGTTAAATTTGTCATTTCAAATAAGAAAATGCAAAAAAAAAAATTGAAAAGGTCAAAGGGCATCCCGCAATTCCCAAAAATAGGAATGAAAATCCCAAAAATGGGATTTTTTACTTTTTTGTCCATAGGGTCCACATTTCTTTCAGGGCTGGGAAAATACTTTTGGAGTAAATAGAAAACATATTGAGGTTTCCAAAACTGCTTTCAGTTTTCTGATCCCAGCTTTGGGATTTTAGAACATGTCGCCCAAAGTTGAAGTTTTGATAAAAAATAGGTCATATTCGGAAGGACGCAGTGGCAACATTTTCAAAAAATAGGACAAGTTTTTTACGCCAAAGCGTTTTGCGTAAAGATACCTTTTAGAAAACTATAAAATTGTTATACGTTCTTAATAAAAATTTTATTTTATTAATAAAAGAGTTAAGACACATTTTTGGCAAAAAAACGCCAAAAATCTAAAATTTTTTGAATTTTTAAATTAAAAAACGTATATTTTTGGATCTGTAAACGATATTGATCTGAAATTTTTTGTATATTATTGGAAATTTTGTTGTCTAACTAACAAGAAAAAATTGAGTCCATTTGGTCCAAAATTACGCCCGGTATTCAAAAAAAGGCGGACCAAGGTATGGTAAATTTTGTATCACTAATGCCTATAACTCGGATATTATAAGAGATAAGTAGTATGTCCAAGCATGTTTTTTCAAGATCTCGTCGAGCGCTTTCACAAAATATAAAAATCTTTGTATTTGGGTGAAAAACAAAAAAATGGCACGAGTTTAAAAATTTTACATGTCGTAGGTACCCTACTTTGAGCCGCCACAGCGCCGTCCCTGGGGCATCTGCAGGGTTCATCTTCAAAACTTAAACTCGAATACTCCTTGGCTACGCTCACGCCAAATTTTATCCCGATCGGATCAGCCGTTTAGAAATGCCAGATTTATTTCCAAAAAATTTCCATTCTGCCCCACTGTGCGACTGCGAGAATTACCCACCAGAACTCAAAAGAACTGTTAAAAAATGTGTTCATCATTGTTTAAGGGTGTGAGTTAAATTCGTCGGCCAAATACGTCCCACACCACATTTGTCAAATACGTTCCACATACTGTAAAATTTATTTTCAAATTAATTAAATACATTTTTTAATAAAACAAACACCAAATAAAATGTTTTTTAAGGAAAATAAGTTAGAGTACTATATTCGGCTGCGCCGAATCTTAAATACCCTCCATTAGCAAGCTACTTTTTATTAAAACCCATTTAACTATCTAATTTTTAGATAACTTGACAGAATTGTTGTTTCCGTAGGGAAGGTGGAACTAATTTTGATTAGGTTCATAAAATTTTATATTAATAGGCCAGTTGTATACATTTTAATATAATGATTTATCTATACATACTCATGTCGAATTTTATCTGGATATAATCATATAATAATGAATTAAGTGGTATTAAGTGATTTTCAGAAGTAAAATTCCGTATAACGATTTATATATACAAAATCAGGGTTTCAAAAAACTGCTAATTGCAGTCGCAAATTACTAAATATTTGACTAAATTTAGTACCATGCTTAAAAAATAGTAACTCGTTAAAATTTCCCCTTACAAGCTAACTGAAGTCAGTCAACTGTGTCAACACATTCCTGCAATAACTTGCAAGTGGTTTTGTTTTTCTTCAGCAGCCACACACACAAGCAGCGGCCATGTTAAAGCTGGAGGTCCACACCACGCGTTTTCGCGTCAAAGCGTTGCGTGCATTTCATACCTTCTTCGCATTCTACGCTTCAAGTTACATGCAACGCTTTTTACGCGCCAATATTTGTTTTGATCAGCTGTTAACAAAATAAAAACATTTGATTGAAAATATTTGAATTAAACATTTCGTACCAAAATGGCAAATGAAATTGAAAATTTTAAAGAATTTATAGAATTAATTGAGTTTGTGAATATAATATATTGTGCCACAAGTGTGTACAATAAGCTCCAAAAGAACAAACGACGATTTTGGGTGCGTCCTTTGTACTTGGAACGAGATGTGTCTGGTTTTTTTGCCGCAACTTTCCTAAAGTTAAAAAATAGCGACCATGAACAGTTCCGGATAGCAACAAGAATGTCTCCAGACATCTTTGACTGTCTGTTCACAATTCTGAAGAATAAACTTGAGAAGAACTCAGCGAGAGCTATACCAGCGGACTGTCGGCTCTTCCTAACTTTAATGTAAGTTTAAATTTATGTATGTTATTAAATAATGCTATAATTGTTTCCCATTCAGTTATTTAGCGCATGGCACTAGTAGGCAATACCTCTCATTGACGTTTAAAATGTCTGTGACCGTAGTAAGACGAATCGTTTTGGAAACGTGTGAGGTTATATGGAATGAATTAAGTGGAATTTACCTATCCTTACCAAACACGTATGAATGGGAGCGAATAGCGGAGGATTTTAAAAATATGTGGAATTTGCCGAATTGTGTGGGGGCGATCGATGGCAAACACGTCGCCATAACATGTCCACCACATTCAGGTTCAAATTATTACAATTATAAGGGTATGGTTTTATGTTTTTTTAACCATCATCAAAAAAGATTTGTCTCTAGACTAGACTGGTGTATAGACAAGACTATTTACTAGACTGTAGACTAGACCATATCCTAGTCTATAGACTAGATTTATAGACTAGAATAGACTATAAACTAGACTATAGACTAGAGTATAGATTAGACTATAGACTAGACTACAGACAGGATTATAGATTAGACTAGACTACAGACTAGACTATAGACTAGACCATAGACTAGATAATAGACACGACTATAGACTAGACTATAAACTAGACTAGACTATAAAGTAGACTAGACTATTGACTAGATAATAGACTAGACTATAAACTATAATATAGACTATAAATTTACTTGTTATTTAAAATTTATGTTTTTTAGGAACATATAGCATTGTACTAATGGGTGTGTGCGATGCGAATTACACATTCACTGCGGTTGACATAGGTGCCTATGGAAGCCAAAGCGACGGTGGAGTGCTAACCCATTCGGATTTTGGAAGGCTATTGCGATCAGAAAACTTAAATTTTCCAGCGGACACAATATTGCCAAATAGCGAAGTCATGTTTCCTTATTATTTAGTTGGGGATGCCGCTTTTCCTCTTAAGTCATACATCATGAGGCCATATCCCGGACTCTTGTTATGTGATGAAAAGCAAAACTTTAATAAAAGGTTATCTAGAGCCCGCAGGACCATAGAAAATGCTTTCGGTATTTTGACAGCACGGTGGAGAATTTTACGTGGAACCTTGAATATGTTACCGGAGTCTGCTGAAAAAGTTGTATGCGCCACGGTTTTACTGCACAATTACTTAAAAATGCACGATGCAACATATTGCCCACCAGATTTTGTAGACCGAGAAAAAGACGGTTTAGTTACGGAAGGCTTGTGGAGGCAAGAAACCCAGCCATTGGAAAAAGGCCCAAAATTCTCTTCTAATAATTCAACTAGAAATGCATTCCAGCTAAGAGACATTTTGTGTGAATATCTTTATAAAAATAAAATATAAAAAATTAAATTATTTTTTTAATTTTAAATTTAAAGATCGTTTTATTTTTTGCTTTTCAAAATTCATATGTTTTAAAGCTAATAAAATATTAATTTTTTTTGTAAACTTAAATGCTTTTTGTTTCATTTTTAAATCATTTTGTTTTTCAAAGAAAAAATTAAAATATACTTCTTTAATTTAGGTACATCTAGATAGAAGTTTGAAAAATCAGTCTTTTTTATTTGCTGCCACTTGGTCACGCAAATAATTTATGAAAAAAAATTTGGCTTCTTTAACGACATCACTGGGTAAATAATCGAAAATTTCTCGCACCATAGAAAAAAAACCTTCATGCGGCCCACTTTCTTTTTGAGATGATGGAACGGCAAACCGAGTTTCTGCTATTTTTGTCATTTTATTCAAAAATTCGTTGAAGGCTTCGCTATCATTCTCCCGTCTTGGCTTCTTTCGGCTGCTATGTGGCACATCAACTGGACAGGAGCTGGATTCAGTATCCAAAGTTGGTACGCTAACTGGTGGTGAATTAGTCAGATCCTCATCTAAAAATGACGTCTGTACACAAAAATTTTCAAATTAGTGAATAATTTAACAAATATTTGTATACATACATACATCTACAAGGCTCTCAATGCTTTGTGAGCGGTCTTCTTCCAAAAGTGTAAAATACGATGCATCTGCACTTTTTTCATCAGCATTTTTCTCACGAATTGGTTGCGTTGAAGTCAAGCTTGTTATTGTTCTGTAATAGGAAAGGAAAAAATCATTTTATTCCCTATTTAATACACAAACATAAATTACCTTCGTGGTTTTATATGTTCGCGCAGAAACTCCATTTGCTGTTGGTATGGCCATTGGTTTTCCTCGAATTCTGCAGCACTACCAGAGGCATGATAGCTCTCAGCACATTTTTTAACAAATCGGTCCCTCAGAGTCTTCCAACGAGATTGGCAAACGTTCTCTATAATAAAAAGGCAATACAAAATACCGTCATGAAAGTGTAAAAACAACTATTTTTTAATTTATGTATATGTTATTACCTGGCACATTTAATTCCTCGGCAATAGATTTCCAAGCAGCTGCTCTTTTGAATTTATTTCTATAAAGAAGCGAGCTTTTTTTATAAAGAACTTCATGTTTTTTTACAGCTTCAATTAATTTTTCCTCCATTGTTCATCAAAAAATTTAAACAAATTAAAACAAAACAACTTGTCAAAATCAGCTGTTTTGTACGCGCGCCGCTTGTGATGCTTACAAAAGTAGAAAGTAGATCTACTTTTCGCGTTCTATGCGTCAAGGCATCCTACGCTTTTGTGCGTGTAACTTGCACCAAATAAATACATTAATTCTACTTTTTTGACAGCCGCATAGAATGCGAAAACGCGTAGAACGCGTGGTGTGGACCTCCAGCTTAAGTTTTTCAACTCGGCCGAACTGAACACAACGACTGAACAGTAAAAACAGTTTTGCGTGTGCTGCTTACATATTGCTTAGTTTTTGGTTTCGTTTTCTTACTAAGGGACGTAAAAAAACTGATAGTTTAACTGGTTAGTACAAATCAAGCCGACTGAACAATAAAACTTGATGGGTGGTTTGTTCATTAAGACTTTGTTATTGTATGCAATTTGTTTTAGCATATTGTATGTTTTTGTGTTTAAATTTGACAAAAGTAAACAAAGTAATTGATAATTATTGCTAATAGAAATTGTTAATTAATTTAAAATTTATAAAATTATAAATTACTATACTTATAAATTTAGATATATTCTTTAAATAAAAATTGATTTAAATTTAACCATTTTGATGATTTTTTAGGGTCGAAAATAGGCTTTTCGCTCGGATCAACTTCTAATAGTGAAATTATGTTGTATTTTAACGTCAAATGGAAGACTGTAAAATATTATTCAATTATTTTGAGGGTAAGAGCCCGCGCATCGCCGCCAAAGTTTGTAAATGCGTTTATATGGGAAAAATGGCACTTTTTGGAGTTTTTTCACAAAATGATACTTTAAGTATTAATTATTGCACCACTTTATAGCAAAATCATAATGTCTACAAAATTGTCTTTCCAAAAAGATGGAAAAACTCAAAATTGGTTAAAAAAGTTTTGAATTTTTAAAATTTCCCCCGAGAATTTTGTGATTCTGAAGACATATAAAAGTAAATATAAGAAAATTTTTGTTAGTTTTGAAAAATTTTACAAAAAAATATTATGTTTATCTTTATAAGGTTCATAAATGTGCTAGTACGAATTTTTGTTCAAATTGGAAAACGCTTACTCGGTTTAGTCTGTGGTCAAAAAAGGTCCATTTTTTAACAGCATCTCCAAAACTCCATTTTCAAACTTTAAAAAATGTTGTTAAATGGATTATTAAAAATTATAGTTTTCTATGCTGGATATTATAAAGGATATATATAAGAATTAAACACAGAAAGAATGAGCTTAATACCTCTCATAGTTTTACCGTACCTGCGATGTGAATTTGAAGGATTTCGGGAAAAAGGCAATTTTTGCCAATAATTAAGTAAAAATTATATATTACCAATTGTTGCTTAATTTTGATCAAGTAAATTGCGATTATTATTTCCGAGTCCATGGAAAGTTAGGTCTAATAAAATTTTCGAAACTAAAAATCATTAACCGTATACATACATACATACATACATACATACATACATACATACATACATACATACATACATACATACATACATACATACATACATACATACATACATACATACATACATACATACATACATACATACATACATACATACATACATACATACATACATCATACATACATACATACATACATACATACATACATACATACATACATACATACATACATACATACATACATACATACATACATACATACATACATACATACATACATACATACATACATACATACATACATACATACATACATACATACATACATACATACATACATACATACATACATACATACATACATACATACATACATACATACATACATACATACATACATACATACATACATACATACATACATACATACATACATACATACATACATACATACATACATACATCATACATACATACATACATACATACATACATACATACATACATACATACATACATACATACATACATACATACATACATACATACAATAACAAAATCTCACTAAAAAATCATCAAAATGCTTCAATTTAAATCAATTTTCATAACCTCCACCACCATCAGTGGTGATAGAGGGTATATATAAGTTTGTCGTTCCGTATGTAACACCAAGAAATATACATCTAAGACCCAACAAAGTATATATAATCTGGGTCCTTATGAAATTCTGAGTCGATTTAGCTATGTCCGTCTGTCTGTCTGTCTGCTCACGCTCACGTTAAAACTAAGTAAAGGAAATCAACCAAATTCACCCAAAATATTTATTATTATCCTAAGCAGTTTGGTATTGAAAATCAGCAAAATCGGTTCACAACGTAAGAAGTTATGAATAAAAATTTCAGACTACCTCGAAAAATATACCAAAGATATTGCGATGAATTTTGTCACACTTTATTTTTTTAGGGCAGTGATCAATTATGTTCAAAATCTTTACAATTAATCCAATATTTCCCATAGCCCCCATACAAAGGTACATATTCCCGGAAATTAGTTTATCGTTAATAACTTAATCAAATATATCGGTATCAACACTAAAATTTGTACGTACAAATATAATATGAACAGAAATCATACTACCAACGTAGATCTCAGTCGGTCCACAATTGGTCATAGCTCCCATATAAGGTCCACTTCCGAAAATCATTTAAAAGCTCATATTTCATTGTCAAATAAAGCTATTTTGATAAAATTCGACAGAAATATGTTTAGTCTAAATATAAATCACTCTATGAAATTTTTTCCAGATAGGCCCATAATTGGTCATAGCTCCCATATAAGGTCGACTTCCGAAAATCACTTAAACGCATATATTTCATTGAATTATAAAGCTATCGGGATAAAATTCGACACAAATCTGTTTTGTATACATACAAATCTTTCTACAAAATTTTTTACGGATCGGTCCATTATTGGTCATAGATCCCATATAAGGCCCACTTCCGAAAATCACTTAAAAGCACATATTTCAATGTCAAGCTATCTTCATAAAATTCGACACAAATATGTTTTGCCTAAACATGAATCACTCTACGAAATTTTTTCTGGATAGGCCCATAATTGGTCATAGCTCCCATATAAGGTCCACTTCCGAAAATCACTTAAACGCATATATTTCATTGAATTCTAAAGCTATCGGGATAAAATTCGACTTGAATATATTTTGTGTACGTACAAATCATTTTACAAAATAATTTTTTACGAATCGGACCATTATTGGTCATAACTCCCATATGAGGCTCACTTATGAAAATCACTTAAAAGCACATATTTCATTATCAAATAAAGCCATCTTGATAAAATTCGACACAAACATGTTTTGCCCAAATATAAATCACTCTGCAAAATTTTTCCCGAATAGGCCCATAATTGGTCATAGTTCCCATATAAGGTCCACTTCCGAAAATCACACGCATATATTTCATTGAATTCTTAAGCTATTGGAATAAAATTCGACTTGAATAAGTCCATTATTAATCATAGCTCCCATATAAGGTCCACTTCTGAGAATAACTTAAACGCACATATTTCATTGTCAAATAAAGTTATCTTGAGAAAATTCGACACTTATATGTTTTGTCTTTACATAAATCACTCTACGAAATTTTTTCGGGATTGGCCCTTAATTGCTCATAGCTCCTATATAAAGTCCATTTCCTAAAATCACCTAAACGCACCTATTGGAGTAAAATTATACTTGATCTTTTTCTGCATTATACGAAATTGTTTCCTGATCGGTGCATAATTGGTCACAACTTCCTTATAAGGACCATTTCTGAAAATTACTTGAACGCACATTTTATACATAGGTATACAATTTTTTCTGAATCGGTCCGTATTTGGTCACAACTCCCATATAAGGGCCATTTCTGAAAATTACTTAAACGCACATTTTATACACATTTAGGTATAAAATTTGACGTAAATGTGTATTTTGTATATATGTATATAAATCATTGTACGGAATTTTTTCCGAACCGGTCCATATAAGGTTAATTGTTGAAAATCACTTAATACCACTTAATTCGTTATTAAATTATTATATCCGGATAAAATTCGACATAAGTATGTTCTGTGTATAGATAAATAATTCTAAATTTTTCTGGACCTAATCAAAATTAGTTCGACAAAAATTTTTGCCGAGTTATCTAAAAAATAGATAGTTAGATGGGTTTCAATAAAAAGTAGCTTGCTGGTGGAGGGTATTTAAGATTCGGCATAGCCGAATATAGCACTCTAACTTGTTTTGGTGTTTACATTTTACAATGATAAATAGAAGTCATATCGCTAATTAAAATAAATTATGTATAATCTTAATATCCTAATATAAATCCTAATCCTAATCTATCTATATATATAAAAATGAATGTGTGTTTGTTTGTATGTTTGTATGTTTGAACGTTATAGACTACTAAACGGCTGAACCGATTTTCTTGAAATTTTCACAGCGTATTCCGGCATGTCTGGAATAGGTAATAGGCTACTTTTTATTTCGAAAATTGAAGTGGGCGATGAGCCACGCCCACATTAAGAAAATATAAAATCCGTATATTTGAGATAATATAACAGTTAGAGTCCTCAAATTTTTTCGGAGCCACTTTAGTGTCAATATGATCATTTAGGACAAAAAGTAGGCGGACTAGCATTAGGGGGCGTGGCACCTCCCATATAAATTAGACACAAAAATTCGTTTATCTGGGAAACTAATATAACTAAATTCTTAAAATTTAGCACGAAGAACTTTAACATCCATGTAAACATTTTGGGTAATAAATTGGGGGACTACCCATGAGGGGAGCGGCACCTCCCATATTAATTAAAAACAAAAATTCGTTGATCTGGGAAACTAATAGAACTAAATTCTTGAAACTTTGCACGTGGCACCTCCCATATAAATTAAATACAAAAATACGTTTATCTTGGAAACTATTACAGTTAGAATCTTAAAATTTTGCACGAAAAACTTTAACCTCCATCTAAACATGTT